GGTGATAGTTTTGGACAACGATGAAGATTCTTCTAATAATCTAATTAGATATAATTTGTAGACAGTTTAAGCTTTAAAATAAATAATTAAATGTGAACAAATGAAAAAATTGACTTGGGATTGATGTTTTACAATAAATATGAAAAAAGGCAAGATTCTTCCCATTAGATGTAGATACTTGACAACAAATATGAAAAAAAATGCCAAAAAACTGACTTGAGTAATATTTTACAATAAATATGAAAATAATAATAATAATGAAGTAAGGTTCTTCCAATTAGTTTAAGATGTCTTACAACAAATATGACAAAAGGAAAGACAGTGACTTGGGAATGATATTTTCAATAAATATGAAATTATAATAACAAAGTAGGATTCTTCCAATTTGTTGTCAACATTTCACAATAAATATGAAAGAATGGAAAAAAAGTGAATTGGGACTGATATTTTACAATAAATATGAAAAAAATAATAATAACAAAGTGACTTGGTAATCTGAAAGTGAACCTAGGTTAGAAAGAGAAGGGAGGTACCCGCGGTACCCGCCAAAAGTACCGCCGGTACCCGCCGGGAGGTGCCTGGTGCGGTACTTGGTACCTATTTTTTGAAAAAATTCAACAGGTACCCGAGTACGAACAAACAATCTCTACATTAGTCTACTATTTGATTATTCAGCTCAATCAAAGAGTGCATTGCCTAGAATGCCCTCACTTGAATAATTCTGGGAAAACATAGATTAGTAAGCTTTAGCTCTCCTTTTGGGGTTGTTATCTTTTCAGTACTCTTCTTTCCACAAGCCCAAGTAAGACTCAAGTATTCCTTGGATGGCTATTAATCCTTGAAGGATTGATCTGGATGCCCTCCTAGTAGGAAGAGTGAGGCTACATACAAGAAATCTGACTGACTATTCCCTCTGCTTTCTGTGCCAGGTTGACCAATTAATTATCACCAATTACCTCTTCTACCCTTTCCCAAACCACTGAAACCATCAGCACTCATAGCACAACCACCAGGTTAGTGGCAATATAGAGGCTGACATCAAACTTGTTTGTAGTGGACCAGAACAGGGGTCTTTCCCCATGCCAGCATGACCATGGTCAACATTTTGTTTTTCTTTTTTGGAAGATTTCTCCAGCCATGTTAGAGGAGTGGTTGTGTGAGTATGTAAATATGCAAGACAGATGGATTGATATGCCAGATTGGCAGGTGTTCTGCATTATAGGAATCACATCCTCATTCACAAGGTGTATGAGCTTGTGGAATGATTTCCTTTCAACAATAGAGAAGGGAAGATTGCATTTGGCAATGAAGTAGACAAGAGCAGTATCAAGTGAATCATTATTCAGCTGGGCCCAGAAACAGATTATATTCAGTTTCTCATGAATACAAATTTTAGAACAAATCAAGGCGGACAAACTTGGAATTCTTAGCCCATTCATCTATATCAATCTGTCAATTCCCAGCTTTCTTCACAAGTGCCAGATCAGAAATTAGGCCCTGGACATTCCTCAGATGTTCATGTAAGTGTTTTGTGCTTTTGCGTTTATCTCTCTTGATTGGAACCCCACACATCTTGCCAGTCTTTTAAAAAACTTGCCATATGGCTTCTGTATCTTGTGGTTTGAAATGATTCCAAACCCAACTACGGTGTTTTTGGTTGATTAGACTGTTTTGGGTTATCTTTGTAAATTGTCACTTCTCTCGTTGTCAATTTCGATGATTTCTTTAATAGTTGGATCTGGGGGGGGGGGAGGGTTCAAGGTAGATTTTGCTTCCTCTTCATGATGTTGAACTCAAGGATGTGGAGGGTCAAATGAGGTAGGCAGTACTAGTAGGCTATCCCTCCTCGGACTCTGCCCTGAAGTCGCAACTCAAAAAACCGGGTCCACCCGATCAAACTCGGAGACGGGCGTCCGGATTGCATTGACACCCCGCCCGAACCCCCGGCCCGGGTCACAACTTTACTAAGTAGTAGGTACTGTAGGCCTACGCATGAGTTGGGTTTGGAAACAACATTATTTAAACTGACTCGACACTAATACGACTTCAACCGGGAACACACATCAGCAATGGACAACAAGCTCAACTGTGAAGCCTTGATGGAATTCACTGGTCTAGGTCAGTGAAACAATCAACCATCTCATGGAGAGGCTACCATCTCACTAAATAATCTGGACTGGCACTCAAATCGCAGATCAGGAATCGACGATGACGCAGATACTACCATACCTTAGTAGTATGAACAGCCGAGCGGAAGTGGAGGAATACCTTGGGAGCTTGATCGGTCAAGGGCAAAAGCAAACTAGTTTCATTCAACGATTCTCCGAACAACGCTTTCGGACCGATTCGGCAATGGCAAGAAATCAGAAGAAGGTCGATACAGCGTTCCCATCATTACAATCAACTCACAAATCATCCTCATCCAGCTTACCCACTACATCTTCGACTACTCTGGGCAACTTTCCAATCAAAACTCGCGGAGGACCATCGACGAAGACACAATCAACTCAACCAAAGAAACAACAAGCTGCTGGCTCTCATCCAACTAATCCGTCGGCGCTTGATCCGAAAATCTATAACAATTTCGGTAACTCGGCTAATGTCTACCTCAAAAGCAGAGATTCGGATGATTCTCAGACAAAATCATCGAAAAAGAGAAACCCGAAATCGATTCATTCCGGCACAGTAACGCCCGAACCCAGGTTTGAATCCACTAGTCATCCTGATCAAATCCAATCGACGGAAGAACCGGCTGCTCAGACGGATTCCAAACCGGATACCGCCCCAGATATTGATATCCCGATCTCCGAACTGTCTCCATCTACCCTGAAGGAACTATTACAACTGAAGATCATCCTAGACTGCTTCGAATCGGAAACTGCTACTCCCAAAGGAACCGCGAAATGCTTCTGTGAGGCGAGATCACACGGATTACCTATCGGTCGATTGCCCAAACAATGTACCAACTGTGGCCTGATCTACTGCAAATTGAAAGCTGCTCTAAGCTCTTGTCCCTCCTGTTCTGAACCGACTCCTCTATCGACCAATAACGATTTGAGGACAAACGTCTGCGCTGAATTTGTTGCTCAACGGAACGGATTAATCAAACTTGAAATTGAGAAGTATCAAAAACGGATCTCGTTGGAGCTCAAAAAGGCACAAGCTCAAGAAGCTGATCGCGCCTATCCGAGTCTTCCCTCCTCCTCGACCCCAAGTAGAAGTCATTCACACAACCAGCAACCAGCCTCGAACGCTAATTCATATTCAAACCAACTCCATCCTGGAGCCTCGATCCAAAACCGAATCAAACTTGGCTATGGACGGCTAGCTGAAGAACATAGTCTCAAATCCAACAACAAACAAAGCTTACAGCAGCAGCAGCAACAACGACTAACCCCATCTTATTCACATCAACCTAACACCTCTCATACTGTCCTGAGATTGAACTCAAGCAACGGGAAGACAAAAATCATCAAGACGACTAAGAAGAATCCCCAAAATAGCGGGACTCCTAAACAGCAAGAACTCCTGACTTTCAACCAAGTCTTCGATCCTGAGTTTGCGGGTGATCAAGAGCATCATGATCTCGATAATCCTCCATACTTAGATACATTTGATGATCTTCTGAGGCTCTCTTCTGATCTCCAACCTTCCCTGTTTGTTGATCAGAAACTCCCTTCCCCTCATCAGGTCCCAGAGTATGTTCCTGTAGATGTTTATCAAGTTTGAATTTCATATGTTGGATTTTATTTTTGGATTTGGAAGATTTTGTAAGCCTACTTTATTCTCAAAGCTTATGAGAATGCATGTACAGTGGGTGGACTGTTATTTTTGGATTCCAGAGCTTCAAAGCACAAACTTGAAGTCACAAGAATTGGTCAAGTGGTGCAGAATAAGTCCCAAAGAATGACACTCAAAACATAACTTCATATCCCGCACTGGATGTGCAGTAAAATAAACCTGGATATGTAGTATTTTTACATTTTTTTTTGTTCACCTCTTCACACCATTTTTTTTTTAAAAAAACACTGAATATCCAGTTTTTTTTACTCCATATCCAGTACTGGATATGAGGTAGTGTTGAAAGTGTGAATATGAAAAAATAAAACCAAAAGATAAAGTTTCAAAATCTGTGAAAAATAAATAAAAAAAATATTTTTTTTCCAAAAGCTCTGATATTCATTTTGGGGGAGTGGGAGCACTGGAAGAAAGAAAGAATGGAACATGGGAAGAATGATTATAAATGAAAATTTTATAAAAAATGGTCACCAGGTGGTTTCAAACAACTGTTGAGTAGCACATTCACCAGAAAATGTTGTGGAAAAGCACTAGAATTTACTGTTTTGACTCCAATCTGAACAACCAACCTGGCTGAATCTTTTTTGGTTCCATTTTTTTCATTTATAATCATTCTTCCCATGTTCCATTCTTTCTTTCTCTCAGCACTCCCACTCCCCCAAAATCAATAACAAAGCTTTTGGCAAAAACCATTTCTATTTTTTTTATTTTTCACAAATTTTGAAACTTTGTTTTTTTGTTTTTATTTCTTCATATTCATTTTCTGGGACCTATTCTATGGAGGTACTGAGCAGCCATTTTGGCCAAAAAAAAATGAAAACATGGGGATGAACCGCCACTTTGGCCAAATAACCGCCAAATGACGGCCCTGAACCGCCAGAATGGCCAAAGTGAAAATTGAATCTAACCGCCAAATTGGCCACCCATGCTCCTGAACCGACATGATTGCTCCTGGACCGCCAAACATGGCACTGATCCGCCAAATTAGCCATGTATCCAAGGGGTTTGTGACCTCGTCTCAACCCCTTGGACTCTACACGCCCCATCAATACACCCAGTCATCCATGGGAGTGGGAGTACATCTCCCATGGATGATTAACACCCCCATCAAGGACTGATTTCAACCAGTCCTTGATGGGGTAAGCCTCCCATCAAGGGCCGGTTTGGACCTTGATGGGAATAAACAACCCCATTGATGACCGGTTTTGACCGGTCATCAATGGAGGACACACTCCCATCAAGGACCAGTATTGACCGGTCCTTGATGGGAGGAAACACCCCCAAACACCCCCATCGATGACCGGTCAAAACCGGTCATCAATGGGAGTCAACCCCCCCAAACACCCCCTTGGATGACCGGTTATGACCGGTCATCGATGGGTTTAAACACCCCCATTGATGCCTGTTTTTGACCAGTCATCAATGGGATAATCACCCCCCATCAAGGACCGGTCAAAACCGGTCCTTGATGAGAGTGTGTCCTCCCATTGATGACCAGTGTCATAAATGGTCATCAATGGGAGGACTGTATGGCCAAATTTCATTTGTATTTTTTTTTTTTTTTTTTTTGGCCAAAGTGGCGGTTCAGTACCTCCATACTATTCTGCACCAATTCACCAAGTCTTGTGACTTGAAGTTTGTTCTTTGGAGCTGTAGAACCCAAAACAAGCAGCCAAAAATAACGGTCCACCCACTGTACAGTCACCCATCAGATGTTTATAGCCAGTTTGTTTGGATCACACAACCCCAACGCACTAACTTGAAGACATGACACATGGGCAAGTGGTACAGCGCTTCCAGGAAAGCTTGCGCTTTCCCCCGAAAAAAAAAAGAAAAAAAAAGAAAAAAGAAGAAAATTAAACTTGCTGCGCAGTGCGCATGCACCGCACTCAATGGCAACCTTCACCTGAAAGGCGGTCAAAGACCGTCAAACTTGAATCGGAATAGGTGTCGAACTCAAATAGGTGTCGAACTCGAACAGGTGTTGAAACCGAATAGGTGTCGAAACCGAATTGGATCTGTCACCGAGCAGGCGTCAAAACCAAACAGCAGTCGAAA